TGGTGCATCTCGCTGCTGTCGCAGCGGAGGTGACCTCCATACAGACGCACGTCTCTTCGTCGACATGGTGTTCAAGCACCATGGCATGCCCAACGACTTTGTGTCGGAGCGCGATCCGCGCTTTACGGCGCCATTCTGGCAAGAAGTGTTCACACTTCTTGGAACGCAGTTCTCCATGTCGACTGCGGATCATCCCCAGACGGACGGGCAAACCGATCCCGTGAACCGCGTGCTCGTTAATTTGCTGAAGAGCTACTCCCAGTCGTTCCACAACTGGGGCAACTACTTGCCGATGGCCGAGTTCGCCATCAACAACGCCGTGCATGCCTCGGCGGGGCATACACCGTTCTTCGTGAACGCCATGCGGCATCCACGCCTTCCGAACACGCTCGAGGCGGTGGTTTCCTCCTTAAGTGGGGGAGGACCTACGGTTGCGCTCGAACAACCGCAGAATACAACTAATATGGACCTATCAGCTGCGATGACACGTGCGAGAGTGAGAGACCGCACACGACAAGGCGACGTGTCAGTGCCGGGCACTGACACTGTGAACAACCACGAGCAGGCGACACCTGCATCAACCAAAGACAACGTGTCTGTGCAGGGCACAGACACCGCGAAGACTCACGCCCAGGCCGGGCCTGCTGCAATCACACACGAAGTGTCAGTGCCGGGCACTGACACCACCAAGAGCCACGCACAGTCGGGGACTGATGCGAACACAAGTGGCGGGTCTGTGCAGGGCACAGACGCGGACAAGACCAATGCGCTGGACCCGGGGTTCAGCTCTTAAGCAATGGACATAGTCCAGGAACGACAAACAGTCGTTCGATTTTTACAAGATGCAATTGCAGCTTCTGCAGATAGGCAGAAGCTGAACGCAGACAATGTGGGCAGGGGTATCACAAATGGATTCAAAATTGGTTCATTGGTTTTGTTATCTACTCAAAATCTGCCTACACATGCAGTTTCTGGATTCGGAGCAAGCAAGCTTGCTCCGCGCTTCATTGGACAGTTCACGGTGGTAGAACGTCACGACAGTGCATACACGTTGGAACTACCTTCCGACATGAGACTCCACCCAACGTTCTACGTTGGGCGCTTGAAGCCCTACGTGCATCCCGAGTCATCTAGTCGTGATGACTCGCCGACGACGTTGCGCGGCGCGACTTCAGCTTCTCCTCAAGCGTCTTCACCTTCTCTCGGAGAAGGTGAATTAGTTTCGACACCTCAACACGGATATTTGAGGTGGTATGAGCGGCTTCGGCCACGTAAGCCTTCTGCCAGTTCAGCTGCTGCTTCAGCTCAGCGAGCTGAACAGCATGAACGCTCTCAAGAGCCTCCACGTGAGCGTGGAGCGACAGAAGGCTGTGGTCAACCTGGGGTTGACCATATGATGAGCGTCCGGCACCGCCGACAGAGGCATAACTCTGTCCGCGGATTGTAGACCATACCAGTCCGAAGACGAACCGAGGTCCGGTTCTTTTTCGTATTCGTTTGAGACAATCGGGTCTCCGTCGAGATACGTGGTTTCCCCGAAACCTCCTGATGACGGACGTTCCAGAAATGGTGAAGGCGTACGAAGCCCACCACGGACTGGAGGCGTAACACTGCGGGGCGCAGTGTTTCGCAGAGTGTTGTGCTCAGGCACAACACTAGGGAGCTGGTGCGTGCATGCGAGTTGAGCACGTAGCTCCTTAACGTTTCCAGGTACACTGTTAGGCGTGTACCCGGTGAGGTCTCTCCCGCTGATGCGGGGAGCACCAGGAGGACAGTGCGGGCAGTGAATGCCCACTGGCACTGCAAAGGAATATTCGCGTTCACGGAACCTTCGTGAACGCGTTGGACGACAGAGGTAACGGAGTACCTCACGAGCTGAAGCGATTCGCTCGCGATAAGCTGTCGAGTCTTTGATGAAGTTTTCAACAAATTGATTCCAGCTTTGACAGAGTGCCTGCCACTCGGGCACTCTGCTTCGCCCCGAAGTCTTCTTCGAGCTCCAGTACCGGA